AAAAAAAAAAAAAAAAAAAAAAAAAAAAAAAAAAAAAAAAAAAAAAGGCCGCATTCGTGGGCTGCATTTGAAGGAGTCTTCAGCAAACATGCGAATTGGGACAGCCTAGTCGCCGCGCTGTGCCGCAACCAGTCTACGAATGCAGCTGAAATCTGTGTTCTACTTCATTCCTAGGTCATATACACAACCCACTAGATTCACAGCATGCAAGAGAAAATCCATTAGCTGCACAACATCACAGAAAAGTGATGACTCTGTAGCGCATAAGCGTCCTCAATTACATACATTAATCTGGTGAGAAGACGCTACCTTTACAGATTGAACCGCGATACACAACAACACCACCTCGGGACAAATCATGTGTAATGGAGGCTTAGCGCCATTATGCACAGAGACTCAAAGAGAGGAGACTGGTTACAACAGGTATACTGGAATAAAAACATCTTTAAAAGTTTGAAAGAGCTGCATGAAACAAGACTGCAGTCACCTTGAGGAAACAAGGATGGGAGAAAAGGTAATGAAGGAAAAACACAGGAGGAGGGGAGACGGAGAGAGGAACCAAGCCCAGCAGGTCGTCTCTAAAAGATTAGGCGTCAGCAAAGATAACACCTGGGGGACAATTAATAGGTCCACTGGTCCATAAAATATTTCATTTGGATTCATACCCCCCAAGTCCACACACATCAATACAAACAAACATAAAATGCCCCTGACTCTAATACTTATGAGCGCGCACATACACACAAGCTGTTTCATGCAGCTTCACGTGAGACGAATATTTGAAGAAAAATAATAAAGCGTGGAAAATTGTCCTGCAGGTGAAGTCACAAACACTCTCCCACAGGCCTCTGCATTACAAGTGCACACGTGGGAGGCAGGCGCGGGTGGTTCTAAAGGATAACCACTGGAACCAGCAGGAGGAGCTTCACTTATTCATTTAGAGCTAAACACAAATTCAGAGTTCAGTTCAACACATCAATACTAATAACAGCAGATTGTTATTGTGCCCAGTTGCACAAGAACTGTTACTGGTCCGTAGGCTCGAAGCACATTTCTTTAACTACGGACATGGATATGAAAACGTCTCCATTTCTGTCCTCAAATGTACCATATGAGTCAGTTAAAAATCAGAGCCACGCTCATGCACACCCGGCTGCTGACGGAGCTTTTGAACTGTGTGCGCGCTGCAGCAGCCCGTGTCTTGAAAGGAGTCATAAGTTCTAACGACGGGAACACGTGGTGAGCAACCGATGAGGCAGAGGGCGAAGCTCGAATGCATTTTTAAATCAAAAAGGGTCCATTAGTAACATTTCCTTCTTAAACAATCCACCGTCAAATTGTCCTGATGGTTGGATCAGCTGGCAGATGCAGTTGAGAGTTGATGATGCAGCACATGGCTCGACCAAAGCCTCCATCTAACCCGATAGAAGTGCGGCGTATTGGACTGTCATTGTTATGCAGATGCCCTTTCTCTGACACCAAACTGCACGCATTAATTTTAATACATTTTAAATAACTAGTCGTTAATTAACGTCTGTATGGATTCAGTGCGTCGGGCATTGGATGGTCTTTAGGACTGAGCCTTCCTACACCTTGCAGGCCTCATCTTGGCTGTCCAAATGTGCTGCACTGGTACTGAGGTTTATGCCCTGCTGTGCATGCTGTGCAGGCTGTGCATGCTGTGCAGGCTGTGCAGGGTCTCAGAAAACACTTGAATGGGTTGTTTTTGAGATAACAGGGAACCAATGACTGTATAAAACAAATTAGTATTTGCCTGACTTTGTTCAGTACTCCTAATAACCTGCACGGCAAGTCAAATACTTGTGCCTGATAGAGAGTGGACTCACATTCGCTGATTTAGAGGACAGGTCCCCAATGAATCAATGCAGTCCAATCATTCAAATCTAATGAGCACACACAAACGATGAAAATCTGCAAAACTTGTATTTCCGAACCCCCGCGCTGTGTGCCAATCATTCCATTAGGGATTGCATTGGCAGATGTCTTGGTTGCCTCTTGTGCGAGTATATGCATTGTGTGAGTGTGTGTGTGTGTGTGTGAAGCTGGAAGCAAAGATTGCATTCATCTTGCAGCGTCCAAAAAGTCAGTCAAAAAGGGCTAAATGAACGGTGCACTGATATACTGAAGGAGAATGTAAACACTGGTCCAGAATAACAGAAGAGCCTTCACGATGTGATGCAATGAGATACAATAGCGATGCAATAAACACCAACTTACCTAAAATATTGTTTTTGTTGAAATTCGAGCTCTAATGGTCCGACACTGCGAAAGGTGTTTGTAATATTTAATATATAAGTCTATATATTAACATAATGATGTCACCATGTACCTCACTGACACATTCCCAACAACAATTTACAATTCTCAAATTGTCATAATAGTGGTATTTAATACAATAATGTTGAATTGGATTCACTGTTTTTTTTTTGTATGTTACTCATGGTACACATATTAAATTATTCATAAAACAGCATATTATATGTAATAAGATTATATTTTGATTCCAAAACACATACGTACTCTCAAATAGTCACAATTTAGATTTAGGAGAAACATGCAGCATTCTTAAAACCATTATGATTCTATCCAGCAGCAGTGCTCAGCTGTGTTTTCATGTGTGGAGGCTGCTGCATTTTAAACACTCGTGATCAAAACTACAGCTTATGGTGCATACATGTTCCATATGGAGGATGCATGTGGCTGGGACTAGAATGCAAAGCACTAGATTAAAAGGTTCTGCTTCTGCTTTGAACATATCGTTTCAAAGAACGTGTTTTTAGCTCAAAACACGGCATCTATGCGATTCGTTTGACACGTAGCAACCCTTTATGATAGCCACTCTGTCTGCAGTACTGTATACTAGTGTTGTTACAGGCTTATGGCAGCATCTCACCTGTAAAAACCAACAAACTCCAGGTATGAAAAAAAGCATTTGAAGCAACTTACAGTATGTTCCGCGAGGCTCCGAACTGCAGCAGCAGTTTGACAACGGCTGGATGTCCGTTCCTCACGGCGTCGTGGAGCGGAGAGTCGTTCTCATAGCCGGGTGTGTTCAACAGGGCTCCCCTTGAGACCAACACCTCCACAACCACCAGGTGACCCAGGTTACAGGCTTCATGCTGGAACAAACAGAAGGAATCCTAATAACACAGCCGTATTTTCCAATTGATACATATTCTAGGTGAGGTAGGTGATTCAAAGAGTTAAATGTATGGGAATATATACAAAACCTGAAATTACAGCTTAATTACACATTCTGGAAGCCTTCTTTTTGATCTACTTATACTTTACCAGCAAATGAAAAGTTAACGTAAAGTCTTCGTGGCTATGTTCCCCAACAGTACAGATCATTTTATTGCGTTTCAAGATAATCGGCACAACAACATCTCACAGCAGAAACGGGCGCTGGGACGGAGACAATGTAATAAATACAGCTGTTTAGAGAGGACAACTAAGAGCTCGCATGGCATAGTCATAATAACCACACAGGGCACAGTGACTCAGCATTGGTTTACTGAAGAAGACAATGCAATAAATAGTAAATGGCACAGTGTAAATGCCGCCCAGAGAAGCTACAGAGGACAAGAATCTGTGTGGAAAACGTTTTGCCATCAGAGTCACAAAGTGTGTAAAAAATGACACGTTATTGACAGAACACACCTCAAATCTCTTCCATCAAAAGGAGAGACTAAGAACCCACCGGTGTAGAAAAACTATGTTCCCATAACAATAGCTTTTCAACACCACAAATACAGGTTTTCAGACGCATCACTTGGTGAGTTCTTCTTACCAGAGGTGTCCACCCAGCGTGATCCTTCAGGTTCGGGTCAGCCCCCTGGTCCAGCAGCTCCTTGACAGCCTCTACATCTCCCTGCAGGACCCAGTGAGAACAACAAACCGGAGGTCAGAGCTTTAGACCCGCAAATGCAACCCTACAAACACAGCAGCTGATCCCAGCGTACCAAAGCTCTGCCGTTTATCAATCACACTCCACAGTGGGCCATTGATTACCTTGTCTTGTACCCAGAGGGGGATTACTGCGGTTTACAAGGATTACTGCAAGACGGTTTGTTCTCAACAGACCGAAACGTGAACGTCTGATCATCTGTAGACTTTAGCTGTTATTGCTGTTGCTTTACTTCAGAAATGTTTTACAATTCGCGTTCGTAAAATGCACCAGAAAATAGAGAGAAAAGGTGAATTATTCGGAAACCTCTGGACCTTTATAGCAGCTAGATGCAGCAGGGTCTCTCCCTTGTGGTTCCTCTTCAGAACCGCAGGGCTCCCTGAGCTTGGTCGTCCAGCCGGAGTAGATGGAGATTTTCTACCGACTGTGGCTCGGACAGAGGGGCTGTCTCCTTGCTCTTCTCTTGAGTTTTTGATGCTCTTATCACACCTGGGGCTAGGCGAAGAAAGAGGGTTAAGGACAGCTGGAGACATCTGTGATTTTCTCCGCCTGCACGGAGAAGCCCTGGGCCTTTTCGGTGTGGTCTCCAACACGGCAACCTTCTCCTCCGCTCTGGATCGTTTCGATGAATGCTTTGGGGGCGATACGTTGACCTCACTGTCCGACATTCCCTGACCAGGCTGGGTTTGGTCGTTCAGTACAGCGACGCCGCCTTCAATGGGACTCTTCCTCGTAGTGCTCGTGCCAGGGCCGAGTTCATTAGTACTCCCCTGTGGTACTTTAGGCTGCGGCTCGTCAGACGTGACAGCAGGGCTTACGAAGGAAACTCTTTTACTGGACCTCCTCGACCCTTCCGCACAGTGCTGCTCCTTTTCTTTTGAAGCCTCTGCCTCCTTGATGATCCCCCATTGCTGGTTTATAGCCTTCAGTCTCTGCTTCTTCATGTTCCGCTTGGTCTGTTTCCGCGTGGTCCGAGCGGCTCCTTGCACTAACACTTTCCTGACGGCAGCCTGTTTCTTAGTTGACCCCTTCTTTCCGTTTGCATTTTTGGATCTTTGAGAAGACGACGAGTCAGAGTCTGGGGAGGACAAGGTGAAATTGAAAACGGACAGGTCCGGGCGTCGAGCAGTAACGGCGTCTTGCTGCGCTGCTGCCGTTTGTCGAGAAGACGTGCTCTCCGGTACAAGGACCTCTGAAGGTTTCTCCACCGTGCAGCGTACCTTGCGGCTGCGTGGGCTGAACCAGATCTTAAAGTTCTTCTTTTGTTTAAAGACCGGGCTTTGAGGCTGCGTTTGATTCTTGGCTACAGAGGAATCTGCAATGAAAAAAAAAAAAACAGTTGCAACGAAACAAAAAGTTCCCCACTTGCATGCACTATATTTGTTTGCTTTGTAATCACCTTGCATCTGTTGAGAGGTTGTTGAGATGAAAAGGGAATAACAACCGACCCGTAAAATGAAGCACTCCCAGCTAATAATACTGACATTTGAAAGAAGTAGAAAATTGCCCAATCGACTTCTTAAACCTTTAGGTATTTTGGTAAAATCTAGACAGCCTGGCGATGTGTTCACTTTTTAACTACCCTGTAGTTCTTTGTTAAAGCTGAAACTAAACAGCACCATAGTTAATTGAACTGCATAATCACTGTCATTACCGGGATGCTGGATGGGCAATAAAGATAATAAAGCACAGGAACAAGCCACTAATAATGTCATACAGAGATTAGATTGGCAGAGGGAGAATGTTAAATGTTTCAGTCAACAATTGATAGAAGGGGGACATAACTCGTGAATTCTGCTTTGGAGCTGCGATATAACAGCTACCATCTACCTGGTTGTTCTACGGGATTGAGCAGGAACTCCAAACCGCAGAAGAGCGTTACGATGCTGCTGAGCTGCCTGTTGATTTGGATGTCCTTCACCCACGCTGGACTCTGACACACCACACAGCCATCTCCTGCCCGGGGGCCGGCACAGGACCTAGGGCAATAAACCACAGCTTGGATTAGGAGTTCCCTTCACAGTTGAGTAAAAAAGAAACACAATGAGCTTATTGATTTACCTTTTAAGGCCATTCGGTCATGAAGAGAAGGAATAAATTGAGGGTATAGTTTACGCCCATCGGGACATTAATTGCCTTCAAGACTTTCAACACGGTAAACAAAGCACCGTGCCACTGTCATGGATATTTAGTAATTCATTTGTATTAAATGTCTGTGTAAATAGTGCCGTTTAAGTTGTCATTCACAGAATATGAATCTGCTAACCACATAATTAAAATGATGTAATTACTTTATGTATTTTTTTAATACGTAGGGAATAAAATCCAACTGAAATAAGCTACTTTTCACGTCACTGTGGACATTTAAATTTGTAGTAGCAGGAAAAAGTAAAACTGTATTATGGCTATATTCCCTTTAAGTGTTCTAGTGAACCAGCATGAGTTGCACACCTAAATAGAATGGAGCCACAGTTGGCATCGTTAGTTATACCTGTGATTTGAGGAATCAGAAATGTCCACCACGAGACAGGTCATTCGTTAAAATACATTTAGCCCAGGTTACATTACCTGCACAGCATATGCTCGCACATTCCGAGACACACAGGCTCCGTCATCAAAAGAGAGCTGGGAAAGAGACAAAACATTTAGAAGTGGTCCGTAGTCAAAGTAAGCAAAACACTCTCTACCACACTGGTGTAGCCATACATACACAACTTTATAGCACATGTTAAGGAACGAATCGGTATCCATCAGTGGAGCATGCTTGACTTCTCATTCACAATATATTAGTAGATTGGCTTTTTTGTTTTTTGAAGACTAAGGGTTTTGTGGAAAGGCCATCGAGACACAAAAAGCCCAGTATAGATTATCCATTTGCTGCAGATATAGAGGGGTGTGAACCCCTCCACCCTTCAGGATCACTCCGAGCTGCTGCACTACAGTCTGATTTGGTAATCGCATCAGATACTGGAGACAGAAGAGAGCATCATTTGAATACCAGACCCTATATATGAACTCTGTGTACAGAGTCCACATCTCAATAGCCACCAGCTGAAGCAACACTTCTCACAGACTATTCAACCTCTTGCCACCATGCTGGAGGTAATGGAGCACCCCAGCACACAGCATATCCCTCCGCACAGTCACATGTAACATCCTGCTAGGTGGTCCCACCACTAACTTGAACTAAATTAACCCACACAACCCCTAAACAGCTATCTCTGTCTGTACTTCTGTGTTATTGTTGCATAATGGTTTAAGAAATGACATCCCACTCTGGCACACGTATGGACGATCCAAATGTATTTTATCTGGCGTCTTTGCTTTTCTGCAAATACGCTTAACATTACGTGTACACGTAAAGTGACTGATAACCGTACAACGTTTACGGTACTGTGAATAATAACGTCTGGTTGTATCGTTTATTGTATTGTTAACGATACGCAACAAAAGCCGAAACGTTAACCTTCCCCCGGACACACGTTCAACTCACTTCTACAGTAACGTTAACGTTGTCTTACCATTTAGAGCAAAGCAGCAGTTGTCGAAAGTTCCTAACCGCCTCCTTAGTGTTCTTCCAGTCCTTCTCCTCTTCGAGGACATCATTATCCATGATTAGAAGAACTGTGTGTCTTCTGTTATGAATCACAGGCTACAAAACAAACCGAGCTTGCTTCCGGGATACTTGCATCTCGCGCCAAAGATTTACGGAAGTAGCCTGCGAGTATAGTCGCCAAAACTATGACGCGTAGACGTAGGTTTCGGCACACACCCGATCATGACGTTGGGAATTTTAAAAACCTTCAGATGTAGCAATTATTTCTTGTTCATTTAAATAATTTGAGTGATTGTGCATTCTTATAACTAAAAATATAATTCTGCATACACGGAGTTGGGTAAAACTGATGTTTGCTTCAATTGATTTACATTTCATAGATTGCCCAGTAGAGATGTGACACATATGCATTACCCACAATTCGTGTCAAATTATAAACAATGATGCGTTCGTGTGTGTACAAATTTGTGAAGCAAATGTATGTTTTCAGTGTTAGTTTTAATGCCATGCTGTGGCCTCAATGCAAGGTCTACAAAAAAAGTTGAGTCATCTGTGTAGCTCTTGCTTAAGTTTTACTCAACATGTTCATGTGTTTAGCCTATTATTTTCTCCTTTTTTATCATATCCGTATCCCTTTGGCTTTCCTGTTTTATAGGTTTGTGTGATTAGTCTACTATGTTGTCCTCAGGACACTGACTTTATGACTGATTTGTAATTTCAATGAAATCATAAGAAATCAGCTGGAATGTTAGTGCATTAGGTCTACCATAGTAGGCTAAAATCAAAGATTTTGAATGTGATCTGATGCTCAAACATAAGATGTACAATAGGCAAAACACAGCAGTTGCATTTGAAATATATCTTTATTAGAATAATAAAAAATAGGCTTGATACATCCGGGTCAGTTTGGAATTGATCCATAAGCAGGCAAAAGTCTATGAAATATTCAGTACATTCATCAAAATTACTCTTAATTGAGAATACAGTGCTTTCTTTTTAATAATTTTCTACGGTATAGTCTAATCGTGAAGAGTGCCCCAACCAAGGATAATTGAATTGCCTACATGATTAATATTATCCTTCATAATAATACAATCAGGATAATTAAAGGTAAACAGGTGTGCAGCCTGTTGGATAGAGGACCTCAATTTATCCCGTTTTGTCATTCATGCATGTTTGCACATGTGCCCTTGTGCCTTCCATTAATAGTTCAATTTGCTAATGATACAAATGTAAGTTATCTTTCATGTGATCAGTCAAGACATTTTCAAGAAATAATCAATATTTCAGTATTATTTAGATCACAACATATTATTTTTAACATTTATAGTAAGTGCAGATTTAATACAAACAGATATTGTGTTCCATTTCACAGTGGACATTGACGAGAGAAGATGGCAGTCAGCTCTATGTTTCTTCTGCCTTGATGGAGTCCAGGTCATCATATCTGTCTTCGCTGTTCAGTGATATGGATTCCATGGCGATATTTCCCATGGCAAAGTTGATGAAGACCTATGAAGGTTCAGCAATAATTTAAGTGCCATGCTAATACAAAAAAGACAATAATTTTTCTCTGAACCACATCATTTTGGTTAATCTGCTGGCTAGTTGTCCTTCCCGATCCCCCCCCCTCTCTTTATTCTTCCTATGGTATCTTCCAATCCCAGAGCCCCAGAAGGGCAGAGTAGTTGAAGAATATCAGCACTGGCTGCATATAAAGCTCATGGATTCTCTCCCGAACTCATATTCCATTCATTTTCCCTCAGGCATACCTCTGTCAGTTTCCCTCTGCCTCTTTTAAACTTTTTCAACTCAATCTTTCAGTCCCACTCAGCTTTCTTCTGTCCCCACTTCTCCTCCCACCGTCTCTCTTCGTCTCTCATCTCCTGTCCTTTTTTTTTTTTTTTTTTGTCCCTCGCTGCCCTCCCCCCCCCCCTACAAATCCCCACACTGCCCCCCCCCCCCCCCACCCCCCTCTCTCTGATTATGTCCTGTCTCTTTTTCTCACCTCATCCAGTGTGGTCTGGCTCACAGAGAAGTGTTTGATCTGCAGAGCATTCTTGTTTGACTCCAGCTGGTCAAAGATGTCAGCCACCCCTCCTGGAGCAATTGGTACGTGGTATTCCACCATATTGGAGTGCTGGTCCTGTGTGTTGAGACAGAATGCACAAGTAGAGGGTTAAATATTCTGAAATATGCTCTTTGTGAAACAAAAATTCCATAGAACTGAGTGAACAGCTGTTCATACTAATTTGAGCAGTCTAATATTATAAATGAATGCTCCTTACATGCTCCCTGAACTCTTTAGCAAAAATAGCTTCTCTACCAAGTACTCTTAACTACTTTGGATTACTGGAACGGTTCACCTTGAGGTATGTGCTGTGGAATCTGTCTCGCATGAAGCCAGTTATTGCCTCAGCGTCACAGGAGGCCTCGGCCAAGTACATCTTCACAGTGAACCCGCTGCCGAACCTGCACAAAGGAGATTTACAAACAAAGCACTGTGTTATTACATGTCTGAGAGTCGGGAGGACAATGCTACAAGTAAAATTGAGCAGAAAGGACCACAAAGGGGGAAGAATAGGAGGCTGCGGGTGCAGAGTGGGACGAGCAGTCATGGCTGAGCAGAGGTCACTAACCTGTTCTTAATGTGCTGCAGGGAGCCCAGACAACGGAATTGACCTTTCACCATGATCGCAAGACGGCTGCACAGTGCCTCACACTCCTCCATGCTGAGAGACGGAGACAAAGAGAGAAACATCAAAGGTCACACTAGGACCCTTTGAGCATATAGTACAGTAATTAGCCATGCCCGTTGACACTAAATAACAATACAAAAAACGTACATTCAGTACAGTATTCAAAATACACTGTAGCAGCTGTATGTACATGATACTAACCTGTGAGAAGTGAGGACCACGGCGCATTTTCCTTTCACTTCTTCAGAGATAATTTTCCACAGGTGACGCTTGGTGCGAGGGTCCATGCCAGAGCTTGGCTCATCCTGCGGAGAGAGGAGGAATGAGAAGAGGATAGTGGGATGTGTAAAAAAGAAAGAGTGGAAGATTAAAATCAAGATTGAGAGATCAAGGGAAAACAAGGAGTCAATTAAGGAAGGCAGTGTTTTGCAAGCAGTGTGCAGTACATACAGTAGGAGAAGAGGAAAAACAAGGGCAAGAATAAGTAACAAGAATAAGTTAACACAAATGCACAGTTGCAAAATAGGCAGGGAGATGGGAGGCCACGTGTTACAAAGCAAAAACAGGTAAAGGTAAGGGAATAAATAAAGATGAAGACAACAAGAACGACAAGAGGCAGAGGGTAAAATTCATGAGAGGATAGGGAAAGAGAAAAACAAAATAAATGGACCGAGTTGAGGACACAAATGAGGAAAGCGAGGAAGAGGAGGGAGAATTTAATAGAGACATAAGGTAGGACAAAAGTTGAAAGCTAACAGGGAAGACTACCCTGAGGAAACAAGCTAATTAACTATATGAGATCTGTCAAGTCTAGGGGATCAATACCTACTTTACTTCAAAGATCCCTCAGGAAGAACAGCAGTATATAGTTTGTTTAATATTTGCTGTCGGGTGGCGAGTTAGGCAATTAAATGTGTTGGCTACAGAGGCATGAACAGGTGTGTCCTCACCAGGAGTAGGATCTGCGGATGTCCAATGAGAGCCAGCGCAGTAGAGAGCTTCCTGCGGGTGCCGCAACTGTAACTATCAGTAATGATGTTTCGATGGTAGCTCAGCTCCAGCCTCTTCAGTAGGTAGTTCACCACCTTTAAAGAAAACATGCAGGGGATTACACACCGGATGAACCTACTAACAAACACTATATGAAAAAGGTTTACAGTTTGATGTGCTATAAAACAATAGTAGATTTAGGTAATACTATTCGCTTTGTCTTCTTCCAAATTCATTTATGTGGTAGGCAATGGAAACTGTTCAACCCGTGCCTACTGCAAGCGGCTAATCAATGTAGGAGATATGTAATGGTCCGGTAGTCATATGCTGGGACTTAATGACTGCTCTGCATGGCTCTATGACCATACAGGAATATGAGACAATTCCATAGACCAGCAGGCTGCTCCCTAGTGTCATGCACATGAAGATGGAGTCAATCCTCCAACTGTGGCTGCGTCAGATCTTAACAACACCAGGAAGTTGATTTTCCATACCTTTAATCCATCAACTCCACTATCCCAATACCCACAGCGATATCCCTGATCACAGCATGACAAGGTGGATTTACACAAAGCTTCTCTGAAGGAAAAGGGTGGCTCTGCAACTCATTGGCTACTTGATATTCATGTTCATTTGTGTTATTGCTGCCTCTTATTTCGGTATGGCTGCACTGCAAATAACAGGCATCTATCTGTCCCACTCCCATGCATATTTAATTTTGTATGTGTGAACAATGATGACTTAACTTGGTGACTTAATTCTATCTAAGCTCCAAGCTGTCTTGCGATTGCAGCTTCAGAGAACAGGAACTGATGCAGCATAATGTATTTGTTGCATATAGATTTATCCTGTGTGTCAAAGCACATTGAAAGCAGGAATTAACAAAACCTTTAATGGGTCATAACTATTTCAGTCCCTTAAAATATCTATGCTTGCCTAGTAATCACATGAAATATTGTGCTGTAAATACAAATTCATGTTCAAATAGCTTGAGGTGATTTTCCATCGGTAAGCTTTAGCCTCTTTCCCATCAGTTGGCAAGTTGGGGAACCAGACCAATGAAGCAAACCACTGAAGTAGATCGCTCTGTTCACTTAAGATTATCTGCTTTTTCCTCTGGAAGAGGATTTGCCTTTAGTGTTGATTTTTACATATAATTCTGAGTTCACTGATCCAGGTTATTAGAACACACTGTAGGACATTACATACGTTGGAAGAATACACGGTGTCATTAGCTACATTTGAATTATTAGCCCTGGCAACATAGCATATAACTGACTGCGTCACATCGCAATACACTATGTTGTTTTTTTATGTTCTCTCATAAAAGCCGCTTTCTATCACCTTTGATGTAACAGCTCATTAAGCCTGACAAAACCATGTCAATGTGAAATGACCCCATTAAGGCTTGTCTCATTATCCACAGCTAGGGGACTCTCAGTGGGAGACAACATTAGAGGAACTCTATATATAACCTCATCTTTGTGAATTAGCCCGACACCGATGATGTGGCCATTACAACCATTGTTGTCGCTATCCTGACCAGAGAAGAGGAGCTGTAACAACAGCAGCGATGCAGATTAGAGCAAGACAGATCCATTTTTGTGCTTCACTCGTGTCTGTCTGTGTGTCTACCAGCATCCTTGCTAATGTGTGTGCATGACTCCGTTTGTAACATGACTGAGATTGTCAGAGAGAATCAATGTTTTGTACTTTTGCATCCAAAAATGTAAAATGGTGTAGAGGGAGAGACAAACATAGAGATGTTTTTTTTATGCATGCAATTTAGATTTGTCATCTGCACACATCTTTTGAACATATATAGACCTGTTTACTTTCTGTTTCTTTTTTTTTGGAGAAAAAAAAATCAACACGGGAAATCAGAAATCCCACATCTGTGATTGGTTGTTCTGCGGATTCCTCTTCATGTCAGCAGCAGCAGTGAAAGACAGGCACACTCAGTAATCACCACAGAGGCAAGATTGATTAGTTCTCAGAAAGATAAATGAGAAGAATGGAGCTAAAGTGACATGTCAAATGAGATCCTCTCATCATCAAAGTATTGTTAAAATGTAAATTTGTCTGCAGTGAAGCATACAGCATCAGTTTAATTCTGTTTGGATTGCATAAGTTTACAACAAAAGCTTTCCCATTTTGCCCCAGATAGGACAACTTTCAGCACATATCACTCAACACTTCACACCCTCTGATTGGGTATGCATAGAAGCATCAACAGTCATGCACTGGGAGTGCACCTTTGAATATATATATCAGATCCCGTGAAATTTTGTGGGTGGTGGTGTCACTACCCGGAGCTTTGAAAAGCAACACAGAGTCTGCAGCGCTTCCTTACCCCGTCTATCTCCCTCTTTGAGATGCCTCGAATGCGAGCGTAGAAGTACAAGTGCTCTTTTCCAGTGAGCAGATTGTCCAGCGCGTCCACCTGGGGACAGTAGCCGATGTTAATTCCCTTGTTGCGGCACTCCATAATGTCCACCAACCGCCTGGGGAAAAGACGACAAAGAAAGACATATTCTCTTAAATGGCATCCACCACATGGTGTAGGGCAGATGGACGTGTAGGGTGTTCCATCAGCCCTGCTGCCTGCTGGGAATACCCACCAAACAGCTTAACAACAGAGCTGTCATAGGGAGGCAGAAAGGAGTGCAGTTTATACCTGTATAGAAGAGTCTGAGATATGTGTATTATACAAAGCATCTACTTGCTATAACCCAAACCATTTACTATCACGCTGTGGCTGATGGGAGGCAATAACATTCCACATTTGTGCATATTTCCTTTATGCAAATTGAATCTAGCACAGCTTCATTAGACAATGCAGCTTGTGCACCTGTACAAACAAAAGCCAAAAACCTGTGATAGCTTCTGTCGTGTTGTCTACAGTGATTCATATGAATCCTCTTTAATTTGCAGGATTATATTTTAAGGAAACTAATATTAACCTAGTGTATTTAGGAATGTGCATGCAGTACCACACGTTTAAATGGAAGGAAAAACAAGAGGGCAAATATGGCCTGCAGCCAGTGAAATATAAAAGATATGAAGATAAATAAAATCAGTTTTTCAAAAATCTGTTTATGTATCTTCTTTTTCTTTACTGTAACATAACCTTTATGTGTTTGGGGTGCAGGTAAGATTTATTTCTAACTGAATAAGCTAGGTAAACTCTTAAGAAAAGGGATAGCAAAAACACATTGATATTCTTACTCAAAAGGTACAATTTTTCATGCTGTTCTAAAGTAGATTCTCCCCAAGTTTGCGTTGTATGTATGTGATGATGAAGAAATAAATTCATGATCAGCTTACCCATCCCAGTCCCTGATCTGTGCTGTGCCATCAGTGGGGCTAATATCTCCAGTCAGCATCTTGAAGGTGGTAGTTTTTCCTGCTCCGTTTACTCCCAGCAGACCAAAGCACTGTAAACAAACACTCATTCCTTAGTAATCCTGAAGCTTTTCTCCACTTTACAGTACTGTAATGCTATGATGGGCTTTTTCACAGACTACATTTGTAATGGCCAATATTGACATTTACAGAATGAAAAAACACAAAAGCACTCGGTGAGTATCCAGGCAGCTACAATTTGAAGTAATATTGGACAACTTTGTCTCAAGCTATATATATATATATATATATATATATATATATATATATATATATAT